TGACGAACATGTCTGTCAAATGAAGTGTCTGAGAGAATAGATTCAGACCTCAAACACGCATGACCGTCATTTTTTCCCCCTTTTTTTGCGGCGCTCATTTAATTAGTTTTTCGCAAAAGAGAAACACATTTCGAACAAGTCATACATCACCTACAAGGTGCTCTTTAGTACATATCTCTAGCGAGCGTGAACGCGACACAATCGCGTTTCAAAAAAGTGCGAAGAGCGTCATCTTTTATGGTCGTGGTGGAGCCTTTTTTTTTGTAACGAACAGACAAAATCGATCAAATCATTTTTTCATTAAAAAATATACACGCACTCGGTATCGGCCTTCTTGTACGAACTAGTTTGCAAACAGAAACACACCCTATCACAACCTGTGCCCCCCTACCTCGGGCCCACTTTCCGTCCGCAAACCGGGAAATAGTGAGGAGTTAAACGGCGTGTCAAATTTAAATGTCTTTAACTTCTTTTTGAAACAAAAGTTAAGGCACCTATACCCATTTCCACCCCAAGAAAAAAGCAAGCTTGGCGCATTATTCATACGCGGCGCGAAGTAGTTCTTACGAGATTTGGTTGTCGGAGGGAAAAGCGATGCTTTTGGCGTTTGGAACGTGCAAGTCTTAATAAGATAACATATATCTAATCTACAATTCACCTACTTATATCTTAATTCTCTACATGAATGCGGAAATCAGCAGTGTTCCGCGAGAAGCCGGAATTTTTTTTACTACGTTCCTCGAGGTAAAAACGGGTATAGTCAAAAATTGTTTTCTGAATTTTATTGTACAATGCCTCCTCGCAGGCCACGTCCAGGGCAGGAGTGGTGAAGGGCCTTCCCTAACCCCCTTGCCATATGACGCGGCAGTTCTCGAGTAATTGGACCTTTTTCCCCGCATGCGACCTCTTGACTCGCGTCTGCCGGGTCAAGCGATCCATTATTGGACCTTCTGACTCGTTGGACCTTTTGACTTGTTGGACCTCCTGACTCGCCGTGGATCTTTTGATCGTTGGATCTCTTGACTCGTTGGACCTTTTGACCCACATTGGATCTTTTGACTCGTGTCTGGCGAGTCAAAAGATCCAACGAGTCAAAAGATCCATTATTGGACCTTTTGACTCGTTGGATCTCTTGACCAGAAGCGGGGCCTTCCCTAACCCCCTTGCCATATGACGCGGCAGTTCTCGAGTAATTAAACCTTTTGACCCGCATGCGACCTCTTGACTCGCGTCTGCCGGGTCAAGCGATCCATTATTGGACCTTCTGACTCGTTGGACCTTTTGACTTGTTGGACCTCTTGACTCGCCGTGGATCTTTTGACTCGTTGGATCTCTTGACTCGTTGAACCTTTTGACCCACATTGGATCTTTTGACTCGTGCCTGGCGAGTCAAAAGATCCAACGAGTCAAAAGATCCATTATTGGACCTTTTGACTCGTGGGATCTTTTGACTCGATGGATCTCTTGACCAGAAGCGGAGACGTTAGGGGATCTCATGACCCAACCGATGGCGGGCGTGGCGAGGGTGGTACAATAGCAAGTTGCGTCTAAAAGAAAAGGGGACGAGGTGAAAAGCTAGGTAGCGTCATGGAAGTTTAAACCAGCGTTGCGCCGTCGCACAAGTGATGCCTCTGGTGTTTTTAACACCACTGCACATCGGGTAACATTTACTCCACGCAACTGAAGGCTGAAACCATCCAACACCGGCGTCGGGCGATTTCAGTTAAGACTGAACAGTGGATAAATGCGTGACATTTTTAATTGAGTTTTTTTTTATTTTTACGTTTCATCGCCCAATATATAGTATAAACAAATCCCAAAAAATATTTTTTTTGCATAAAGTTAAAGAAATTATTTGGACACAAAAAGTCGTAGATAATGAAGGTTGTCACTCGCATTTACGGGCACAGCCGGTGTTTTCATGATTGATAGTGTATAGCTGAAGTAATAATATGAAAGAAATGTAGAATATATTAGACAAAGGCTTGCAGTAATAAAAATTTCGTCGTCACCAGTGCGCATGCGCCGAGCCCAAACCGTGTTTTGATTTGGCGCGTACCGAAGACGTCATTTCTTCTCATACGCTCAAATTTGGGTACGTTATTAAAACAATTGCAATTAGGAGAAGTCCATTAATTTTGAGAAACAGTGTCTGAGTACTGGTCAGTTTTCCTAGATAATAGTAGTTCATTACATTACTTATATCTTATAAATATCTCAAATATGGCACTTTGAGCGAGTGTCTGTAAACTGAGGTATTGGCAAGCAAACGTGCCACCAATACAAAAAAAAAAAAAAAAAAATTCTGACGATGTTAAATTTTTTAATTTTTTTTTAACGGCAGTCACTTTGATTCTTTACGCCCACGCTGCATACATGATAGAGGAAGGAGATGCAGCTCCCCTGTGGAGCCCCTTTTTGAGCCTGCACAGATCCTTCCGCTGCGTGGTGCAAAACATACCCGGTGTGCAGTGACGTTAGAAACACCAGAGGCATCATTCGGGCGACGGCTCAACGCTGTAGCGTTTCGCATCTTCGTCCTTTGTCTTTAGTGGGACGCAACCTCTTGGTGTGCCTTCCCCACGCCCAAACTCGGCTGAGGCGTAAAATTCCGTTATGTCTCCTGTGCTCGGTATTTTCATACGACGTGCGAGCGTCACGTGACCTTCGAGTGTGGCGCAATGACGCGTTATCACTTGATACGCTGAAGTGACCGAGGTAGTTCGCAACGTGTGCTTCAGTCCATCGTATTTGGAAATGGAGTACAATGATATCTAGAGAAATCAATCGAACCACTTCTTTTTTTCAGCAGGTTACTCACGTTTAAAAGTACTACCCTGGAAAGGTAGCGCGGTGCAGCGAAATCAACTCTATTGGGACCGAACGGGCTGCAAAGTTCAGTTTGATAGGCAATATCAGCCATATCACTAATAAAAAAAAGTTTTTTTTTTTGTATAATGCTTTACGGTGTTTCGGCGTTAATGCGACCAAGTACGGCCACTGTTAATGCGGTGCTCGCGTACCACCAGTCGTCGGTACAGAAACCCTCCAAAAATAATTTACTGCGACATAGGCCTGGGTAAACGTTTAGTTGTATTAATTTAAAACAATATGATGCAACATGTTTCTGCGGATTTTGAATTAGCGGTTTCCAAGGGTTCATCGAGGAAAGTTTGGCAAAAATAGGGAAGGTTTATAGTTTTGAACGTTATGACGCTCAAAAATATCAAATTTTTTACCTTTACGTTATTTCGAACAATTCCGGGCGAAATGCTAGAAAGTTTTACAATAATTAAGCGATGGCGTTTCTTTGTTACAAGTACACGTATCATGAAACACTCTAAACAAAAAGTGCCAGCTTAAACACGCAACTCTAAGATATGTTAAAAAAATTAATAAGAACGCCTAAATATCAAAGGATTGCGCTAGAGGCCAAGTGTGTCATTGTGTTTTACTACACATATAAACTTAAATAAAATAAGTTTAACATCACGTAAACAAGTTGGCGTGCTTTATACAAATACGTATGTTGTATAAAGCTGTAATTTTTTTTTATTCCTGTGGCCCTCAAAGTTGTGTCTACGCGCACTTGGCAAACGTTAGGTCTGTTCGGTTGTTCAGACATGTTTTGCTACCTCATAAAATTTAATTGAAAAGAAAAAAAAAGCCTGACACCCCTATGACAGTCCTCTGAACACAGCTTGGATCAATATAACACAAGACTGAGCAAGTGGACAGTGAAACGAGTGAGCAACTTTATTATTTACACAACATAGAGGAGCAAGTCTTCCGATCATAAAATTAAAAAAAAAATGCTTCTGCTGTAGAAACCAAGTGCGTGATAATTTTTAAACATAAAATTGATAAAACCATTTGCTTTAAGTGCATGCTTTGAGGAGCATACAAACCATGGACGAAAGCATTCTTAACGGGAAGAAGGAGTAATGGCTGAACCTTTCTTGCAGCATAATATACAACTTCGTTCTTCTAGATAAGCAACAGAAATTAAAACATATCGCGTGTAACCCGTCACAAGCGCACCAATTCTTTATTAAGAGCACATTTTCTGGGGATACGTTTATGTATTATTTTTTGTTTACCAACATCGCGAGAATGATCGAAGAGCTTATGTTCTGAGTGCTGTAAGTCTGGAACAACTCAAGTCCCTTATCTTGTACACGTATATACCAGTAATACCTAAAGCTATCGTTTAATTGCATTACAAATATTGTATTGACGTGTCTTTTGTGCACGCGTTTCCAAGTATTTCAAAAATGTCACATCAAATAATACTCCTAATAAATAAATAAAACATCACCGGGTGTGGAATATTCCGTATGACTTTTTGCAACTTTTACTGTAGTTGGACAAAAACGTTCTGGGAGACCCAGCAGAATTGTTTCAGTTTTCGTCGCAGGATTGACCTTAGAATAGGTTAATCAGATAGGTAAAAATTAAAGCAGAAATACATACATCACTATGTTATGCTGGGAAAGAAAAATTGCATCAAATAAGCTAAAGCAAACTTGCTCTCTTTCAAGAAGCAGTAGTACAACCTCAGCAAGAGCAGCAGGACTTGAAAAACTGTTGAGCTCGTCACATGGCCTTCAGTTTGTAACTATAGTTTGGTTTCACTAAAAAGGAAATATAAAAAATACGCACATGTTTGCCTCGCATTAAAATTGCCAGGCGCATACTTTAAAAACATCGAACAAGGAGCTCTTTGTCTAAGATGCAAGAACTTGACTCAGAAATGATATAATAAAGAGTCTAAAAAAATACCGCCAATGGAAGTACTATGAGCTGGAGGCGTCACCTGAACTTTGTGACCGACAGTTTACTGTGTGTATTGCGTTGAAGTCCGCCACCTCTCGGAGTTCAGTCCAGCATAAGCGGAATGAATCCAGGGGTGGGTCTAGCCGGCGCGTAGCCGGAAGTCTAGGCCACTGTACCGGAAGTACCCGGCCGGAAGACGACTAGTGAGCCAGGTGGACCAGCATGGACGTGTGGGCTGCGGGGAAAGGAGCCCTCCTGGCACTCCTGGTGGGTCTAGACATGTTGCGACGCGGCACCTGAAACAGAAACCAAACTCTATAGTTCGTTTCGCTTAGTTCAGGCGCAGCCGACGCTACGAGCTGATGGGACAAATCAGACTGCGTCAACAGCGCACCATCACAATGTTCTTCATGTTTCTGTAAGTGCTCTATCATCACTGAACCAATCATGAACAGAAAAGGCTCAGTGACCTGCGCTTTTGAGGCTCTTGATTGGTCCCATTAGCTCGTAACCTTGGCTCTGCCTGAACTGCAGCTGAAACAAAGTATAGAGAGGTAAAACTAAAAATGCGAGAAAGTCCAAAACACAGAAAAATGTGTTTTGAGAGCAGTCCTATGCATAGGCGTAGACTTCAGAGTGGGGGTGGGGGGGGGGGGGGGGGGGGGGGGGCATCGGGGCTCGTGCCTCCCCCCCTGGTAAGATCCGGGAGGGGGCCGACTCACCCGGGGTAGCTTCTCCAGGAACTTGCGCTCCCATTCCTGAAGAAGAAGCCGTCCCCCGTGGTTGTTGTAGCGGCCCGGGTCCCTCATCCTGCCCTCCAACTCCAGGAGGCGACCCTTGAGGACGTTGCGGCGCTCTACCTTCCCCAAGGTGGCCGCATTCTGGTCGTGGAACCTCTTGACCACACCAAGCTCCACCTCGAAGATCCGCAGGCACTCCTCCGTGAAGTCTGGGGTAACGACAACAAGCAGCATGCTTAAGGCTGCTCGACGGCAGCCGGTGCCCAAAAGTAATTTGCTGATGTTATAAGATCACCATCAGATATTAAAACGTTCGATCCCAGCATTACCGCATGGGTTCTGAAACTGGGCTGCTATGCCCAGGGCGTATTCAGAGCAGAGTGTCGAACCGAAGTTTGTATCGGTTTCGTTCGGGTTCATGGCTTTCGGTTCTGCACCGGTTCAGCTCCGGGGTGCAAAAATAACGGTTAACAGTTACTAACAAGGGAAGGGTAGGGGTTCAGTCCGGTTCGAACCGTTTCGAACCGGTTTGAACCACTAAAGTGAGAATATATTTTCCGCGTTGCTTACACAATACACTGTTCCTGTCGTGAAACGAGTAAGTATATAGTTTTTATAATTCTAAAGCATTAACGGTCCCATGGAGCGAAGTTCATGCAGCGAATTGAGGCTAGCATTCCCATTGGCTGCGACACGTCATATCAGATACTGCGTCACAAAAGCCGCCGGGGCCGCTCAAGGTCAAGGCGGACGCGCCTAACGAAAAAGATAAGTCAGAACGAAAAGCACAGCAACGCAGATGCATGGTAAGGGAAGCCGTGGAGCCAGGGGGGGGGGGGGGGGGGGCGCCTGCGCAGTGGGGGAGCGCAATGTCACTGCAGGAGCGCGGTGTGAAAAAGGAAGACGTGGCGCGCTGCTTGTAGGAATGGGCTACGTGTAAGAAACGATTTTGGGATTCTTACATGTTAGCAGTCCTAAGTGTATTCTCGAATTTTACTTACCCTATGTCAATCCACTTTCATTTTTAGGTACCAAATACATAAGAAATTGCGCTACTTCCTACGCAACAGTAAAAAAAATCTGGATTAACATACAAAACATTCTGTTCCTGTGACTCAGTATCAATTTGTTTAACTCAGTCACATATTTCACCCGAATAAGAGGGGTACCAAGTAAGGTAGGTCGCCTACAATACCCGTGATTTGTACAAATTTGCGTCGCAGTCCTAAAAGTTGAATCGCAGTTGTGCTCTTGAAGTAAGGCAATAAAAATATAGTTTACGAAATACGTTTCACAATATATATGATGGCGAAGCAACTGAGCTAAAAGCAGTCCTATTTTCAAAATGTGTCGGACGTGTTAGTACAAGCCCTTTCAGACTACCTTTTATAGAAACACTGAGCGGCAATCCCAACGCTTGTTTTCCTAACCTACAGTGATGTAGGCCAAGAAACACCCAAAAAGGAGTCATCAAAGTTGTGCCCTAATCTATTCGCACCTCCGTACTCCGGTTGAAGCTGGCCCAAAATAGCGCGCACCCAAGTGAACATTTTCTTGGAGGGATTAACTGGCATAACCTGGTCTTTAGGGTTTCTTCGTGACAAGATGCCAGCCAATTCAACTTGCAAATAAGCATCCAGCTTGCTAATTGATTTTTTTGTTAAATATAACAAAGTGGTATTTGATGCTCTACTCGACATGGCGGCTACGTAATTGGTCGCTTTTTGGCGTTGTGCATCCATAGTCGTCCTAATTTCGCCACTTGCCCCTGTGTAGTTTGTTTTTGTCTAGCCCACAGACACATAACATTGCTCTTCATCACATAAGAGAAAACAAACTTCTATATGTTTGAAAAGTAATTTATGCGTCAGGAACACGCAGTTATTTAAATAAGCTTCACAATTATAAGAATTTGTTTAAGGCGCTCCCAAGGCAGTGATACACGTGCCTATCGAGGATACAGAGCGCCGGAAAATTATTGCAGAGCATCTCTCAAATAATTTTGGGGCGCATTTCTACATTCTGTCAGGTTGGATAAATTAGACAATAAATTAATGAACTCATCAGTTGAAAATAAATAAGAACATAGCAAACGGTACTCGTAACACTAGCAATTCTCATGATGTTCAATTAAAAAAATAATGACTCGGTATGAGTGTCAAAAGAAACGTTTGCAATAAAACGCAGCATGATGACAAACAATCATAATTACAAGATGCCTGTTTGTCAGACCCTTATTTCTGCGCATAGTACGTAAAACACCCTGCATGCTGGCAACGTTACTGCTGTGGCCCTATACGTTAACAAGAACAAAATGCACAAACAATAACGCGAGAAATGTAGACAGCATTATTAGTTGCATATCTGGGGCAAGCGTTGGTGGGAGCTACCGCAATTCTGGTGCGAGTTCATTGAGAAGACAATAGATTTTCAAGGAACACACACTCTTTAGCCATCCTGTCCGATGGTTATGAGAGAGACTAAAGTCAGAAAAGCGTTTCCTGAAAATTGTACATGAGAATTTTAGAATTCCCCAAGGTGGAAGCGATTTACGCAGGGAGGATTGGAAGCCAGATGTCTGAAAGCCGCTTGTTCCAATTAGAGTCCCTCAATGGTCTCAGAGTACGGAATTCCATTCAGCCCGTTTGCGGGAAGTCAGTTCCGCAGAATCCAGTTCCGATTGGCTGGTTTCGCCCGTGACGGATGTTATCAGTCAATTATTTACAAAATCTAAAAAAAAAACAAAAAAAACGTAGCTAAACGTTTTCGTGTTACCGCGACTAGGGTGGAAAGCACGGGTGAGAGCTCTGGGAATCGATGAAGGAGGACCGAATAAAAGATTAAATAATTTTCTCTGATTTTTTTATTTTCTTTTATTAGGTAGTTGCTAATCTGGTACCCCAAAAAAGATTGCCGGCTCGTTTGCTAACTCCGGTTGCACTGGTGCTGCGTTTCGAACCCTACGCATCAGACTCTAAGCCTAACACTCTCCTTCGACGTGTTTCGAGGCGAGAGAGAGAGACAGACGGGACAGCTAAGAACTAATCACACACCGCTCGAAAAAGAAATTGTGTCGCCACATGCCAGGAACATGAATTGAAGAGCTCACACGACAACCTACGCTCACTGTATACGGGCTTCACTTTGACCGCACAGGGCAGCGCCATATTAGGGATCGCGACTGCTGCGCTGCGGCTCGGTTCTGGAACAAAGCTAGGAAGTTTCGGTACTCTGGGAATATTCGATGACAATAGTTCGAACGATACCGTAGAGACGTCAACCCACCTCCGGTCTCCCACGTCCTTTGCAGACAAGGCTTGCTCTCCGGAAAGCGGCACGTCGCGTACATTGATGACGCGCTGGCGCGCCTGAATGAGCTCCCGCTTTAAAGCTTCATAGCTGGCCAGCTCGCTCTTTAGCTGCAAGAAACGAGGCATAAATGGTGCAAACAGTGAAGAGCGAATTTTCGAATTCTGAGGTTTGATGGTATGAATACCGATATTTTGCATTTGTAGAAAACTACCAGTGATTTATTGCTTTACAAATTGCATACCAAAATAATGTTTCGCAGACATAAGACAAAAACAACAAAAAATATCACAAGCATTTTAAGCCAGGAAACAATTCATATGCACTCTTAGAAAAGCTAGTAATACTCTAGCAACTGCAGCAGTTACTACTTTTTTCTGACCGTTACTATCTTTCACTATTTACTCCTCAAAAGCGCAATAGGTAGTAAAAAGCTAGTAAATTTGCAGCAGTTACTACCTTTTACGGACCGTTACTACTTTTTACCAGCTGTTTACTACCCCGGGCCCGAACGCGCGGAAAAGATGACTGCGTCGGGTGTATCACCGATGGCCAGCGTTAGCGACGCACTTACTGTTTCGAAACGCAGGGGGAAATATCCACACACAATCGTAGCATCAAATATTGTAGGAGGAGGCATGTTTAAAAGCATACTGAACCGAAATTTAGATTTCGCAAAATAAGGCCCCAGAAGCGTTGAACGGGACGCTACGAACTTTGAAACATCATTCATACATCGATATCTCAAACGGACGGCCACACTTTTGGAAAAGAAGGGTGCGATGAAGTGAGGCCTATGACGTCATTGTCCTCCAGGGAAATTCGAGAATGAGGTGAAGCGGCCTCGCTTCTCTCCTCGCTTCGGTTCACCGGCTTGACGGGACATAGCGAGGAGGAGAAGGAATAAGAATCGTGACGTGCCGTGTCTCGTAGGCCTCGTCGGCCGTGTTCAATAGCGCACTTCTACGAAAATGCGGCGTTCTGCTAGATATATCGCTGTATGAGCGATGTTTTATGGTGTCGGAGCGTTCCATCCGTCTAGCGTTGTTTTGTAGGCTCGAAGTTTCGGTTAGTATACCTTGAAGGATTATAGTCGTGGTTTGGGAGAGTTTGTTCATGGTAATCGGAAATAAACAGCGCGCAGAAAATACTGACAAGGACAAGAGGGAACATGCGAACGACACAAGCGCTTATGTCGTTCGCATCGTCCCTCCTTTCCTTGTCTGTATTTTTTGCGCGCTGTTTATTTCCCATTCCCTTTAAGGGTTGGAGCTGACTTTATAGCGATCGTAGCCTCCGTTCCACCAGCACGCCGTGGAAGCCAGAGCAGCCGCGAGCGCAGCCATTGTTGATCCAATGGCCATGCCGCTTCTCACTTTCCATCCCAGTTTGCATTCTTTTGGGAGCGTTTATATGATCATTTTGGTCTTATCTGGAATGAAAATAGCCACGTTGAGTGTGCTAAAACGTTTCCAAATACAAAAAAAGGTTCATTCTATTTCTTTTTTTTTTTAAATTCTTGTATTTTTAAAATCTACATGTTTATCTTTCGCAAGAGACACTTGAGAACATTGTACGACGAGCAGGTTGGGAAAATAAAAAGCAGAAAAAAAAATGGAAGGAATTTTGCCACGATAATTCATTGGGGAGCTTGTTGTTCGAGGACATACAAAACAAAGTATGAGGAAATGGATGCGCGCTGTGTTGCATGCCAAAAGGATTACGAAACAATAGAACATGCGGTGTTATTGGTGTGCAGAGGGCTTTCTACCGCCCTCCCGGAGAGGGGTGACAGATTTTGCCGGTACGCTGGAGTTTGCAGACGAGAATGGAAGAACGAATAGTAAGTGCATTTTAATAACAAAGATTGGAAGACTGATGGAAATTATCTAGGGAGAACTGAATTACGTACAATTAACTGACACAGCAGAGGACAGGAGGGACATAGAAAAATTAGGTCTCCCTCCTGCGTGGCTCCGGCCCAAAGTCTCCACTTTGTTTCCTGGTGGGCCCGGTGCCAGGGTAACGCCGACTAGGTTTGACCAGAGTAAAATTGGCGACTCCCTTCCTTAAAAAGATGTTCTTAGGTGTTTTTTTTTACCCGATTTCTTAAAGCTCATTTTGCTGATATCCCACACCGCCTGGTGATTGTTACGAAATTGCAGAAGATAAGCAAATTGGTGAAGTAAAGAAATCATATTTTTGGTTCTTTATTTTTAGGCTAGGTGGCACAAGCTACCGCCCCTTATAAAGGCTAGAGCCGTTAGCATCCATCCATCCATCCACCTGGGGCCAGCCTGTGTTGCGAGACGCTCATTTCTGCGATCTGAACTTGCCGTTTTTGCCGTGTGCTGTTCTCGTGTTCCTGTGTTGGTGTGCGTAGTTAATGTTCGTCCGCTCGAGTGTACGAGTGTGTGCGTGGACGTGGACTGCTCCTAGGGTAGCTCTAACGAGCCGGTGACGATTGTCCGCTCGTCACCGGATCCGCCGTTCGACGCCGCTCGTTCGGCCGGTTCAGTGGCATGGGTTTCCCCTTCCAACTTCGCTTCGCATCTTCGCTCCTACTCTACACTGTGAATGTCTTTACGGTCTGTGTGTGCTTGGTGTTTGATTGATTCCGATTGAGCTGTCTCCGGTCGTGACAGTGCACTGTCACGACCGTTGATGTGCGTCGTAAATAGTGAATCTACCTTAAGGGCTGAGGAAAAAAAAACACGTTTTGGCATTCTACGAGTGTTTCTGAATTTACTTATATCTTCCCCGGAAACGCGAACATTCGTCAGTGAACTACACACACATTACAATGTGAGCTGCGTGCGGTATTAATTTTGCATGCATTTCTGTCACGCAACGCGCGAAAGGAGCGCAACTTCCGTCGCACTCACCGTCTGCTACAGCCCTCGTTCGCCGCGTGTGACGCCAAGAAAACAATCTCTCGCCTCCGTCGACTGCATTCGTTTTAATTTTCGCTGAGCGTAATGAACGAGAAAGCTGGTTTGCGGCTGCCATGCGGAGAAGTGAAAGCATGGATGCTGAGAACCAGGTGGGGGAGACTGTTTTGTTGACTGTCGCAAATAATTTACGTGTTTGCCTTTCTTTTCTACTAGGAGATAGAAGCCTTGTATCGTTTGAAAGCTTTCTTGAGGAAGGATTTTGGTGCGAAAAGAGCACTATATTTGCAACATTATTCCCCGACGTGGTGACACACGACGACAAGTCTGAGCACTCAAATTGTCAGTATAAAAGACTCATGGGCAGGCAGGGAGGTAGCGATTAGAGTGTTTAGAGTAATCGTGTCACGTGTGTTCGTCGTATTTGTATGTGATGTGTTGAATGCATTGTATCAAATGTGGGCTGACCATTTTTGTGTGCAAGATGTGTATCTAGTTGCAAGTATGGAAGCGTTAAAATAAACTATATATAAACGGTTTCTTTTATTTTATTTTTAATAGTACGGTGACTTGCTGTACCTGAATTAATCCTTTCGAGTTTTAATTTTTGTTGCGCCTGCCATCTGGTGGCAGGCGGTATAACCAGACTCTCCTTTTTTTACCGGAAATCACGTGACCGTTGCGTTTCCGGTCTAGTAGTAGCAGTTAGTGGTGAGGGTAGTGGAAAGCCGGAACATGTTGGCCACTCCTTTAGTGGGGGCGAGTTAGTTCCGGGGAAGGGAGGGAAATGAAAGGGGAGATGAGAAAAAGTTAAAGAAAGAAGAGAGATAAAGAAAAAGAACAGATTGAAAAGAGAAGAGAAGTAAAATGGGATGAAAAGGAATCAGAAAGGAAGGTGAAGAAAGAATAAAAAAAAAAAAAACAATTGGTCAGCAGTTTTTGTGGCTCGGTTGTTGAAGTGTTGCCATCGCCCAGTGTATGTCAGACACCGGGGTTAGAGGCGGTCAAATAAACTGGTGTCCTCCAAGAACTTGAGAACTGCGGCGAATGTTCTCGAGACATCGCGTGCAGAACCTGGGGGGAAAAGAATGTCCTGTGTTGTAGCACTTGCTACGCCTGCTTGCCGCAGGCCGTCGAGAAGCGATTTTCTTTTGTCCGCTAGAGTAGGGCAGGTCCAGAGGAGATGGTCCTGGTCCTCGGGAACATCACAGGATGGACAGTTTGGGTTTATTGTTGGGTCCATACGGTGAAGGGCTTTCGCAGTAAAGGCACAACCAGTGCGAAGTCTGTGCAGTAGAGAAGCGGAGGCTCGGGACAGCTTTGGAGGCACGCTTGCGGGTGGCTTCCCGGTAGAGACGCGCGTGTCCGGATGTAGTTTCTCTATTTCTTTGTGAATAATAAGTCTTGCCTCATACATTTTTGGTATAACAAGTGTTGGTACATGAATGTGGTGAGCTGCATTAGCGAGACGATCGGCTGTCTCATTGCCCGAGATAGCGACGTGTGATGGCAGCCATTGGTATGCTATATGCCATCCTTTAGACTCTAGGTTTCTTGTCATGTGTCCAATGTATCTGGCATATTGTGGGGCGTCTTCGAGGCTACCGAGAAGTTGTAAAGCTATTCTAGAATCTGTGAGGAACACTGCCTTTCCACTGTGAGGGATACTGTCGAGGATGTCAAGGCCTAGCCAAAGCGCGGCAAGTTCGGCAGTGGTAGATGTAGTGTGAAAGCTCAGTTTCCTTGATTTGGCCATTTTTAGTTCTGGTATAAAAACTGCTGCAGTGGATGATTTGCGGCTATGAAGTACCGAGCCGTCGGTATATACACGCATCCATCCTAGAAAATCCACCTCAATTCGGTATTCTGCGAGGGTCCGAGCGACAACTTGGGCTGTGAAGCGTTTGCTTCTGAGTTCCGGAATAGATTCACTGATGTTCAGCGGCGAGGCGTAAGGTGGTGGTGCCGGGTAGATTCTATCTAAGGTGCCCACAATTCCTTCAAAGTCTCTAGCGAGAGATCCAAGGCGAGATTGAGGACAACTTCGAATATGGTTCAAGAGGGACTCTGTTGACCGGCAGGATGTTTGCCTTGCGATTCTGGCGAAGTGTCAGCTCTCTGCCGTGGTTCTCGACAAGGTTGACCCTCGCTTCAACCAGCGTTGGAATGTTCGGGGAGTATCTCGGTAAACCCAGACAGAAGCGAAGTGCAATCCTTTGCAGGGTCTCAATGGCTGCAGACTGTGCATTGCTCAGGTGAATCAGCGGCAAGGCGTATAATACGTTTCCGGTCTTCTGTCGGGAGGTAGTGCGAGTTACTAGTTAGAGGTTAGTGAAATACACGGGTTCTACTTCGAGGCTAGTGACATGCAGTTACTAGCTTCTTGACCTAGTAACCATTTCTAGCTTGACCGTTACTACTTGCGGTGGTTACACGTGCCTAGTAGCATATGACAAGCAGTTACTAGCTTTTACATAGCTTTTTTTAACGAGTGTAGGTCAAGACAAGAGACAATTCCCTATTGAAAAAATCTCATTTGTATGGGAAATTTCTGTCTCCAATAAACACGCGTGAATCATACAAGATATATAAAAACATAAAAACCATATCAGAAATTTATACGTACCAACTTGGCGTACGTACCAACTTGTTTTTGAATGGAGGGGCAAACCAGACCCCCCTCCCCCCCCCCTCCCCCCTCTCCAGGACCGGGGGCGGTGTCCTTGGTGTCCCTTGGGCGCCACCGGCTAGTGTTTGCCCTGCCCAGTGGCGGCTGTTTTACGGGGGGCAAAACACATACCCTTGCCGCCCCCCCCCCACACACACACACTCTCTGAGAACTGGGGGGGGGGGGCAAGGGTATTGGTGCGCCCATGCCTATATGTTCTTATATATATTATATAGTTCTTATATGGTTCTTATATGTTATTGCATGTCTTGTATGATTCATATGTGTTTGTTAGGCAAAAGAAATTTCTCATACAAATTGCTTTTTCACTAATAGGCACTAAAAATACTAGAAATAAAAAAAAAGAAAAACAGAAAACAGTTATTTTCAACGTCACTCTTGTAGCTTCTCTTAACATCTGAAAATTTTGTTTGGTTTTTTTTCTGGCAAACGAGCTTCCCGCTATCGAGTGTTGTACCCCACCTGGACAGAGCTACTATTATTAGACGAGCACGCAAGGGTATACACAATTTTAAGATGGTCAATCTAGCTCAATAAAAGTCTGGGATGCATTAAAACTCGCGCCTCGTGTTGCGATCACGATTCCGCCCAAGAAGGCGCAATCGTGACTCGATAGGAAACGATGTCTAGGGTCTCGGCACAATTATTCTTTATTATTCGATGCCGCCAAGGCGGTCATTCGTCCGTTTGTATCACGCGACTTTTGTTTGGATGCCAACGGCTCGCGGGAATCTCTGTGCTTAGAGCCGCACGAACACGACCTCTGGAGCAGTATAAATACCGCGTCATATTACGGTATTGTATAGCTTTGCTTGAACTGTTTTGGCAAGCGGGCCGACGGAAAACACTTTTTGTACCTTCCATCAGGCACATCGGCAAGAGCTGGTAATAATTGAAAACACTGAATTTACGCAAGGATATATGAAGCGGCGCTACTTTCAAGCACAACTCATTCAGTGGCTCTAAGCGCAGCCATTGATGAAGCCACACAACGCCTAGAATGAAGACAGGACCGGTTATATACCGCTTCGATGGTGTCTTCACCCAGGCCAGAGTGCTTTGAGGTGAAAGCCCTCTGCCGCTCCTGTGGCACAGCCAGCCACATCCAGAGCTGGCAGAGTCTCGCGTACAGCTGCACGTACTCGGCAACCCGTGCGGCATGCAGGGACTTCAGCTGTAACAGATGCAACGAACGCCCACGTCGGAGAAGCATAATCGAAGACAGGAACTTAAACAGCTGGATTGAAGTCAGGAAGCACACTTGACACCAGTACCTATAGGCAATACAATGCAGCAAATTCACTTGTGGGAAGCCACCTACATAATGCACAACGAAGTTAGCAAAATCACGATGCCGACACCTTTTTAAACTTTTAGATTTGATACTGGTCAGTGGAAAACACCGCCTCTACCCTCAAAGCAAAAACTATGCCCATCTTTTTATGCATGGAAAGTGGTGACAACTCAGCGGGGTACAAATGTCAACATCTTCCCTCAATGACGGCCGCGGAGTGGGCAATAACCGTTTACGGATGTGTCACAGCTGCATGCCAGGACTAGAGGAAAGACAATCCACCCCTGTTTTCACCAATATCCCGGAGCGCTGCTATAACATATTGTGCAGGTTCGACTTACGACTCGCAAGTAGTCATCCACAGCAGACAGGTTGCTTGCTGAGAGCCTGAAGGTGGCTGGTGTGCTGTCAATGAGCTCACACTGGAAGGAACTTTGCGGAGTTTCGGAGAGTTCCTCCAACAATGCCAGCACCTCGGAACGCATGCTGTGCAATTGGGTTGCCCGCCGCCCCTGCATGAGAGAAGAGGGCACTGCAACGCATTTTCGATCGCCAGAACTTGTTGAGGCTGAATATCGACGGGTGTGAAACTCTCTGCTTGTATACGCCTTGTTAACCGAGGTGCGTCCCATTTCTTCGAGGATGAATTCCGTTTCTACCTGTGATAAATTGTCCATCAATAACAACAGGGATCTAAACCAGTGGTTAAATAATTATTAGTAGATCTATAATCTTATGTCAAATTTGCATTTGTAAAGTGCACTATCCCAACATAAAACGACACTGCATTTCAGTTCTTCTTCGATACAGTGACAACACGAAAAAAGTCACTTCTACAAATGGAAACAGATTTCACCTTCTTTCATGTGAAATAACAACACGTTTGGTTTCAAGGCACACAACCTAAAAAAAAATGATAGGAAATCCCCTCGCTCTAAGTTCATCATGTCTATCGTTAACCAGCTTGCCTGTCTAGTTGCGTTAACTTCAATATATGATGCATGATAGTCGATCAAATGGAACGGATGAACGAATAAGTTACATGGCAATGAGAAGCCCTTTGGGACCATGACTTGTGGCCACCTTAAAATTGCTTCCGTAGCATATAATTCCCACATTAATGACTAAACACTTTCTGTTGTATCTATTCAGATCTTTCATAAACAACCACAGGTAGTGCTGCTATTGTGCTACAATAATCTTTCACAATGTTCAGACCAAGGCATTGCAAGGTTCAGGCACCGAAAGTTTAGGAGTTGATTGTGTGTGCGAGTCCTTTATGGCGGGGTCCGGACATTATCTTACTTAGATCATCACCTGCGCAACAATTGCATCAACCGCTATACAACCGACAGACCAGTGCAAATATAGCAACAGTGACTTGTCTACAATGCTTTTTTTCGAATTTTCCCTGCAGTACCTTTGCCTTTAGACATAGCATATTTTCATTGTACATCACACCTGTTTACACTACAGATGCAATCAACTGTGAAAATTATTACTGCCAATAACATTTAGCAAAAAGTCCAAACTCTCCTCCAGTTAAAGAACAAAAGTTAGGCCTCCAAATATGCGATCCCTGAAAACCTGGCACGCCAAGAATCGAAGCTCGAAGCCAACACCTTCTATAGACCTTTTCCGCTTACTCTCGCCCCCGACCGCCAAGTAGGCATATCCGGTATGGGCGACGAAAAAATATCAGAACGTTTCAACCTGCAAATAGTAAAAAAATAAAGGGGAAGCAAAAAGAGAATGTGTGACGGTTACGTTTATGTCCTAAATGCCTTCTATTGGCGTGGCGACGGTGACACAATGTTTTCGCCCATACTGGAAGTGACGACAATTCAAGGTGGCGGCGCCCTTGCGGAAAAGGTCTATACTCGTATACACCTCAAAAACCGTAAAAAAAAAAAAAGAAAAAAAGAAAAAAAAAGCGTTTTTTTACTTTCGAAACGTTACTAATTTCCCCCCTTCTCGCGTTGAATTAAGATATAGGCATGTAGGTGCATCTTAAATTAGCTTCCCGTCAGTTTATCAAGACGTACACGTTTCAAAAAAAAAAAAAAAAGAAAAAACCTTGGAGGACGTTTAAGGTTCACCATTTGGAGCGGAACGCGACACATGTGCCTTGCGTGACTTAGAAGCATATCTGGCCCGCAACCGAAGGGTCAGAGGTTCGAATTCCGCCTAAAATTCTTCCAATTTTCCTTTAAGGAAAATGAATTACTTAAAAAGTAAAATTATTTGAGACATGCGGCGGCCTTTCATTTGCATTACGTGCCACGTTTTAATCACTTTAATAGACCGATCTCACCAGCTAGTTTGAGTACGCCACCGCTGCCGATGTGCATCGTGGGAGCTGTAGTCTTTCTGCACGCGCGACAACCATGCTGGAGGTTTGCGCGAGCAGACCACGAGGCAACATGAGCTGTCGCGTGAACTGGCGTCTGCCTCCTACGAACATACAGTTATGGCGGCGTCACCCATGCGTGGAACGCTTGGTGAGATCGGTCTATTATAGCGTGATGTCACGCTTCACGTGAGCCTTGTGGGTTGTTGGAAACGCACGCGTGAGGCTGTGACGTCATGAGCGTATCGACCAATCAAATTTTCGCGTCACACCACCGACGCCGGCCTTTCTGCGACACGAGCTCCTTAACGCTACCACGTTAAAATGGTCGCTTCTTTCTTTGGCAACCAAATCGTCTGAACTACTTCGCGCAGCGCATGAATCATGCGCAAAACGCAAGTTTTTCTGTTTTGTTTTTTCATGTGACAGCAAGCCATAGCGCGGAATTTTCGGCGTTATCTGAAGAAGGCCAACGCGGGCCGCAGATTGGGCACGAGTGCTGACTCAGCGTTTGACCCTCAGCCCAATCAGCCTTCGCTGATGGGGCACAAATGATCGACCGAACATTGATGCTGCACTCGTGTCGAATCTGCTTCCCGCGTTGGCCTTCGTTGGATGAAGCCGAAAATTCTGCGCTACGGCTTTGTTATCTAATATGGTGGGCTAGAAGGGCAGGTGCGGGCATCGCTTGCTTCTCCCAGCGGCCTAGAGCGGTCCCACGATTCATGCACCCTTGTCTCATCTTCGTACGTTCGGTGAGCTGGAAGCAGCGCCAGAACGGCAGGGGCCCGGTAATTCTTTGGAAATTGAGCTCTAAATAAATACGGAGCCGGCAAAAAATATTAAAACATAATAGGGGTCGTGTTCCCATCTACGGATAAAAGGCTCCAGCTGCCCATTTTTGCTATTCTTTTCTTTTTTCATATCCCTGGAGTGCGAGGTACAGCTGCTTCAAGCATACTGAATATGCTGCGCTTTATGGGCATGAATCGCGGGATAGTTCTGGCTTATGCGATAATCACACCGTGCACCTTCTAAGCAACCGAATCCAGAAGCTGTTGTGTGGACTAAAGTAACTTGATCCTAGGGAAGTAGCACCAAGCTCCCCGTATGGTTGCAATTTTGGTTCAAGGAATGAACGTTTTCTCCTGGACCTCTGCACTCTTGGTGATCCGATCTAAATTCGCTGGTGATGGATAGCTTTGATAGCGGCGTTATCTTGTCAACACACCGGCGAAACAAGCGTATATCTTCGAATACATCTTAGCGCTCAAAACACAAGGACACAAAGACAAGATTCAGACACCACAGAGCGCTACTGACAACTGATTTCATTACATGAAACCTCATCTATATACCATCTGTGTTTCTGATATCATCCCGTCACTAGCCAACACGATGCCAGGCCCCGTCATTGAGGAAGGCACTTTCCTTGTCAAGTAGATCAATTGAGGCCACGCTGACACATGCTGCCCCACCCTTCTTAATCTCATCTGCCTCGACGCCTCATCGTTTTTTCCTTGTGCCTCGCCAGAATCTTGCACTTGGGAAACAACGGCACACACATCTTCGTGCCGCCACCATATGCGGCCTCACTGCTTGGAAGCAATGAAAAATAATCTTCCTGTCTTGAAATACGCAAGAAGAGCAATATAATTCTAAGCTATCTGCGGAGATAAGCATGTTTGATAAGTTGATGATATCCAGAGTGCCAAATACACTTATATATACCTATTTTTAAATTTCTCAAACTTCAATGAGAATATGATGAATGTATAGGCCAACGCGCCGCACGGGACAGCCTTCCGTGTATAGGAGATTCGAAATAAATAACCAAAATAAGTCCTCGACAAACGCGCGTGTGAGGGGCCAATTGTTTTAGGTTTTGCTTTAGAGCAGTTACTTCTGCAGACGCTAGCACGTGTGGAGTTAAGAAGATAGAAATCATGCTTATTAATTAAGGTGTTTTCGTTTGTTAGAACTTTCCAGAGTTGCGTCGGCGTTGTTTTATTAGCTTTCTATCTTGGTGTCGGCGCTTTGGAGGGAGCGTTTGCGGGGGCAGAGCGGCCGAGAGGTGGCAGCGGTTCCCCCGCGGTCGTTAAAGGGGCACTCAAGTGGTTTTTGGGGAAGCTACTTTTTGGTGCGATGGCGTTAAGGAAGTGTCAGTGAATGAGTACCTTCAGTTTTAGAAGGCAGAACCGCCTATTAATCACGCAGGAATAAAATACGTGTGGACTCTTTTCTGTTCCTGCGCCGACCAATGAAATTATCGTATGTTTGAAAATTTTGGCGCCCTTTGCAAAGTTTCGCTAAAGAAACAATTTTCAGTTCATTTAGATATGTTGTGCATGATAATTTCACAAGACGTAAAATAGTTCTAGTTCAGAATACGCGATACTGCAATTATCGTTTCACAAACAAGGGACTACGTTTTCTCCTTGCCTTCCTCCGCAGATGTGAATTTACCATTCCCTCGCTCGGGATGCGCGGAAGCGGACGTATCTTGAACTGCAAACATGGCGTCAGTGGTGATCGTCGATGTGGATGGCGTGGTGGAAGCTCATCGTTCCGCGTAAAAGCGCTATCCTTGACTGTGAATTTTCGTCGTGTGTGGCTATGATAACCCAGCACGTACTAGAAGGGAAGATCCACCTACTCGTGCGGCGATGTCGTGGCGGCACTCGCAAGACAGCAGAAACGCCCGTGCCGTCGTGTTTGTTTACTTCGACTACAGTGGTGCTTTCTTAGCATTTGTGTCCTCGAACATCGCCCGGATCTCTTATTCGGCGCGTTTCATGCGTGTGCTCATGTTCAAGGTATTACTGGCGCGTACCGTATAAAGGACGCAAATCTTTACGCATTTTCATCACCGAAAAAAAGTGATTAGTGTTAGCAATCCTGAACGCTCGCAACGTCTATCTGATCACGAAATCATAATTCTGCGTTGCTATATCGATGCTTAGATTACATCGTCTTTTATTATCGTAGAAAAGGCGTGTGGCGATATTAGTACTATTGGCAAAGTCGTGTATTATAGTCATGATCGTCCAAGACGGCGTACTGCATCCTTTTCTGTTTTTTTTTTTCATCCACTGTACTCTGCAAGCCTACCATGAAAAAAAGATAAATAAAGCTTTAGGCTATAGAAAACTGTCTGTCTATATTTTGTTACGGCATTGAGTGGCAGTGCGTTTCCTTCTTAGAGGCGCCGCTGAAACAGCTGACGGCGGCGTAGAAGCGGTCGCCGTGCTGACGACCCGCTACGCTTGTTGCAGTGGTTGCAGGTGTAAAGCGCGAAACACATGTACGACGAAACCGTCCGATCCGACGTCCTACCGCGCAATACGACGGTCGGAGGCGAGGGTATTTAACGCTCTCCGATGCTACGAAAACCCTCTCCCCCCAAGGTCATTCCGGCAGTCCGCACGTCGGATCGGACGGTTTCGTCGTACATGTGTTTCGCGCTTGCGCGAAACACATGTACGACGAAACCGTCCGATCCGACGTCCGACCGCGCAATACGACGGTCGGAGGCGAGGGTTTTCGTAGCATCGGAGAGCGTTGAAAACCCTCGCCTCCGACCGTCGTATTGCGCGGTCGGACGTCGGATCGGACGGTTTCGTCGTACATGTGTTTCGCGCTTAAGTACGCAAGGCGCAGAGCGGTCGTTCCGGTCGCTCCGGTTGCAACGGCAAATATGTCTGAACCAGCCCTCCCCGTCCTCCCGAGGCGAAAGTCAACGTGGTGACGTCGTTTGACATCACGTACCAGAGGTTCGCTGCTATGCCTAACGTTGGTTTGGTTACGACTTGCCCCAACCGCAAATCGAAAAACGCCCGAAAAGGTCTGCGCTTCATCGCCCTCGGAACCCGAACACGACTCCGAAGCGCTGCTATCGTCCACATCGCACGTCGGAGTGGCGTTATAGGAAATTATGCCCAGGTCGGCTGTCCGCCGAAGAATGTCAACCTCTAACGGCGTCAGGTCCTCGAGCGTAGAGAACTCCGCCATGATCGAAGCTCGAATGACAAAAAAGTTTGGCCGGTGCGGCTACCTCGGGATCACTGCGCGACGGAACTTCGTCCAACGCCATTGGCCCGAGATCGTTTTGATATACGTGCGATGAACAATGAGAGTGGTTTCGTTTTCGGATGGATCCGAGGTTCGGCGGCCTTCAATTACATTTTTATTAAAGAAATAATCACCGTATGACAATTTTTTTTTGGTTTTTGGGGATACTTAGGGCGTCTAAATTCAGTTGTTATCATCAAAACACAAACTCAAAAACCACTTGAGTGCCCCCTTTAAGAAACGTTTCGGGAGTCTGCTCGGACAGATCCCTGGGACGGCCCATTCTTGGAGTTCCTTGTGGCTGTTAACCGAGTGTGCCTGTATATAGAGGGTTTCGCCGCTTAGGGTCATATTGTCGCTTTTTGCCCGGTGTAATAATTCAGCTGTTGGCGCCAGCCAGACTGCGAAAAATGCAGGGGACGACCCTACAAGGAATTTGGTTTTGGCGGTTGTAGCGCCAGGTTGACAGCTCGCCGACCATTGGGTGACAGTGTACCACGTGCGAGTGGTGGAATTTGAAGGGATTGGTCGGTCCCTGAGGGTAAAGGAGGCCCCGAGCCTACAAAATGCCGAGAGGATTCTCGTGGATGGAGATTTGGATTTTGGGATTCGATTGACAGAAACTGGGGACGGGGGTCAAGCCTCTACACGAGGCAGGATGGTCTCCCAAGTGGGGACTTGTAACTAGTGTAAATAAATGCACATAGTTCCCTACAAGCAGTGAGTCGACCCGTCACTCAGTGACGTTCGTGCCACCACGCTCCAGACCATCGGAGCGGAACCTGCCTCCCACACATCCGGGAGGACCAACAACTTAATTTGCGGCGTGTAGATTTACATTTAGAGCCTTATCCTTGATGGCGGGGAATTTTGGAATAAGTCTATTGGTGAGGAACGCTTTCACTACAATGATGCTCCATTGCGATCTTGGAGCGACTGGTTCATGACGACCTTTTCGAAGATTTGAATGGACATAAAAAGGCGATTGCCATGACAACTGAAAGAGATCACCGAATCGCCTTGCGAGGTTCGGTCGTATGCATGTTGGTATTTGTTTGTGTCCGACTAGCAAAAAGGAAGGCAATTGCGCTACTTTCCCAGAATCGAGTGACCTTAGTGACGACTACTTACCTCCACGTCCTTCAGCATCTGCACGTGTAGCCCCAGCTCGTGCAGCTCTCTCTCAGTGGGCATCTCGACGTCCAGCCGGTACGGGGGCACTGCCAAATGGGTGCAGAGGCGACGCTCCTGCCCCAACAGGTCCTTCAGCTTCCTCCGCCTGGACACCTGCAGGGCAGTCAGCTCGCGCACCTGGGCGCCCAGGAATTGTTCCGTGTCCAGGAGGGGCAGCTCCTCATCTGGCTGCATTGCGAAAGAACCAAAGTGGGACACGTGCAACCAATACGCAAAGCCAGAACCATACTCGACTTTCGTGTTTAGACAGAGCAAGGTCGACCTACTACAGAGTTATGGCGACACTGGTTGATGGTGTAGATAAGAAATTTAGCCAGCGCAGTGCGATTGCTAGCCTCTGTTCTTTAAGGCGCATTAATCAGTAGTGACACGCTACCGCACGCCGGTACAATGCTCATGCAGGACGAAACGGGAAAAGGGCGGCGATTGAAACCAGATTCCTTGGGTTACTGAGTGCGAGATTTCGTCCACCAGCTCCCAACTGCGGTGCGCTAACACACTCGGCCACCGAACCCCCTGCAATCAATGCAGACCGCAGAATAGCGCGCAGCTCAGCATCTACTCGAGATAAAAGTAGGAATTTTAAGACAGACAAACAAAAAACTAAACGCAGCTTAAAGCGTAAGTAATGTTACACAAAAACTTACACCAGCATGACACATATCTATACCGACGGAAGCATTAGAGAAAACTCGTGCATAGTAGCCTCTGTAATGCCAGACATTGGATTGTTGTTGAAGCGATGTTTATTAGAAAATCGACGTTGTTGTTAGTTACGCTCTGGGCGCACTTGTCACTGTCGATGGGGAAGGGAATTAAGGGAAAAAAGAGATAGAGGAGGAGAGAGGGGGAAGGGGGAAGAGGATTTTTTCAGAGTGTTGAGTTTCTTGCGGCTTTCGGTACAGAATCGCGACTCCTGGAACTCCCATAAACCTCTGGATGTAAGATCTCTAAGAGCCCCAGGAGCCGCAAGCAACCCAGATCTCTTGGAAGTCTTAGAGGACCTCGAGGAGTTCCGCGCTCCTCAGGAAGCTGACTTTACTCTTGAGTGCCTTGTCCGTAGTAGCTCGTGAGGCTCTTGGACGCAGGAGTTCTTCCAAGTTGGTACTAGGTAGCCCTAGGCGGGAAAAAGCATCACGGAGTTTGGTGCGCTCCTCTTCGTGATCACTGCAGTGCAGGAGGAGATGTTCGACGTCGGCCGTTTCCTCGCAGGTCTGGCATATGGGGTCAACATTGGGTCTGAAGCGACTTATCCACGCCGGGGTGAAGGCGCTTCCGGTCCGTAATCTGTGCATTACTGCGGCAGTTTGGCGGTCGAAGCCGCGCGATACCCGAGCTGGGAAGGCACCCGCCACCACTACAGGGTCCGGGTGCCGTAGGGCGATGGCTCTTCTCACAAGAAGCTTGGCGTCTGAGAAGCGGGGAACGGTTGAAAGCGGGCACGCGGGGTCCTTGTGAGCCCGCACCGCTAGAAAATCAACAACTTCATTACCTCTATTGCCACAGTGGCTTGGGAGCCATTGGAAGGCAATGTCGTTGCCTTCTTGCTGCAGCTCGACTGCATCCTGCGCGATTGAACGGGCCAGGGGCGTTGCCCGTTCGAGCCTAGATAGCAGCTCGAGGGCTGATCTTGAGTCGCTCAGGATGACCCAGCGTAAGGCCTGTATGCAGCGTGTCAGAATACCCCAGAGGGTGAGCCGTATGGCTGCTAGCTCTGCCGTGGTGGAGGATGCCTGGTGATCCAGGCGCTCACTGGTACCCACAGCTGCTGCTTCGAAGAAAGCCGCTGCTGTTGCTGTGCCTCCGGAGGGGTCCACTGATCCGTCGGTGTACACTCGGGTCCACCCATCGTACTGGGTAACTAAGTGATCTTCCGTGAGCTGCCTTGCTACGACCACTGCTACGTTCTTTTTGGACCGCAGTTCAGGGATATGAAGGCTGATCCGCAGGGGGTGGGGATCTCTGTGCAGCTCTGGGAGTGGAACGAGTGGTCCTGGTGTGCCAGCTATGCCACCAAGAATGCAGAGGTGCGCTCCTAGTCTTGATTCAGCGCGCTCGGCGATCCTCATTAGGAGTGTGATGGTCGAGTCGCAGTTGCTCATTCGAGTCAAATGACCCAGCGCCCGTTCTTGCATGATGTTCTCTACAGAGTTAATCCTGGATTCTGTGAGCGTATGTCGAGACGAGGCTGTGCGGGGAACTCCGAGGCAAATCCTGAGTGCCACGCGTTGCGCTTGTTCAAGGTTTTTGAGCTGGTGGGCACTGAGTGTTGCGAAAGGTAGGGCGTACAATGGGCGGGCCAGGATGAGCCCCCTATACAGTTGCAGCATCATGTGAGATGAGGTTCCCCAAGTAGTTCCGCCGAGCATCCGGAGGATGTTTGTATGGGTTCGCATCTTTTGAAGCACTTCCCTCAATGCTGGGCCTCAGGATAGCCTCGAGTCCAACGTGACGCCAAGATATGTGGCCGTTTTCGCCAGTTTTACTGGAGTGTCCCCAATGCGTAGTGTGGGCATGAACTTGCTTGGCCTCTTTGGAGCATAGCACAGCGCAATCGTTTTTTCGGCTGATATTGCCAAGCCCAGTTGGTGGAGACGATACACTGCATTTGTCAGGGCTCGCTGGAGAGCGCATATCATACGTTGCCTTCTGTAGCTGGGGGCAGTGGACCAGAGTGCCACGTCGTCTGCATAGACGGCCATGCTGATAGGAAACGCCGGCTCTTCTCCAACCCTTGCCGCCGCTGGGAGTGACGCGATGGCCAGAGCAAAAAGTAACGGGCTAACAACGCTCCCTTGGGGAACTCCTTGGATGATTTTCCGGGGGTTGCTCACCGCGTTGCCTGCCTTTACACACATAGTGCGTTCACGAAGAAACGCACAAATGTATTTCAGTGGACGTCCGTTTACCCCGAAACGGCGTAGAGCTGAAATGACGGCCTTGTGGGGAAGGGCATCAAAGGCTTTGCGGACGTCCAGAAAGACGGCCACCGCAGACCAACCCTGCGCTTTTGCCTCTTCCAGTGAGCTGACGATATCTCCCATTGCATCTACTGTGCTCCGATGGTGCCGGAATCCCGAAAAACAGTCCGGTAAAGCCCTTGCCCCTTCTAGGTGGTAAACAAGACGGCGTAGCACCATACGTTCCATCACTTTCCCGAGGCATGATGTCAAGGAGATAGGCCTGTATGAGCTTAGCTGGTCTTGGGGCTTGCCGGGTTTCAGAAGTGGTATCGTTGTTGCTACCCTCCAGGCGTCTGGCAGCTCAGCTGTCCTCCAAACTTTGTTGATGAGAGCTAGCATTGCTGGGAGTGCCGACTCGTTGACGTTTCTCAGGGCCTGGTTGGTGACTCCATCCGGGCCTGGTGACGCGCGGTGTCTGGGAAGGGAATCAAGGACGTACTGCAGCTCATGCAGAGTAAAGTCGGTGTCCGGTTGTTGCATCAGAGGTGCCGTGGGATGACGGAACTTGTCCCAATTTTCGGGGGGCGGTCCCACTGTCGGTACCAGCGGAACTTTAGTGAAAGTATCCGCGAGGAGTTCTACCATGTCTGTTGGTCGGAGGTTCATGGCCACGGCCATTCCAAGGACTGGGTTTCGGGGAATCGGGCGGCCCGCTAGTGTTCTCGACATCCTCCAAGCCCGGCTTCCTCCGGATGGCCTGTCTAGAGTACTACACTTGAGACGCCATTGTCGGCGCGCCAGTTTCTTTCCGTGTTTCCTGAACCTGGCATCCAGTCGCCTATAGGCCAGGATATCCTCCGGTTTTCCGGTGACCCATGACTTTCGCTGGGCTCGCCGTCTTCTCGCTCGGAGTTTAAGCCATTCGAGGTCAGGGTTAGGACGTGTTAATGGCACGCTGACTTCACGGGTGGCTTCTTTGAGGACGCGCGACAGTGTTTCTGAATTGAAGGGAAATCCCCCCTCTAGTGCTTCTCCAAGCAGTGTCCTGTAGTGGTCCCAGTCGACTACCTGGCAAGTCCTAAGGGGGACTTTCGGCGGTCTTCCAATGACAATTGGAAGGTGATCACTCCCCCAGCTGTCCGCCTGAGGGGTTGCACTGAGCCTCAGGGACCAAGTTGTGAAGGTGAGATCAATCACGCTTCCCGTCACTCCAGGCCGGATAAACGTCTGGCTCCCACTTGTTATGTTCCTTAGGTCAAGTGCTTCAATTGTTGCCAGTAGCTCCCGTCCCCGTGGGGAGTCTTGCTTGTCTCCCCAAGACTGCGAGTGCGCATTGAAGTCTCCGGCTACTATAAGGTCTCCCTTGGATCGGACTCGAATGTCCGCAAGTACATGGGTGTCCCAGGGTGCGTTAGGGGCCACGTATGCCGAGACGATGGTGAGTGGACGTCTTCTCCATTCTACCGTCACCGCCACAAACTCCGCACTCTCAGTGCATAAATCATTGAGGTCCACCTCACTTTGTGGCAACTCTCGACGTACTAGTAGCGCTGCCCGCGGAAACCCTCTTGCCACATGTGTTTTGCTGGCGTACACTACATGATCCGCAATGCGCATGTCGCCGGCTGACATTCTTGGTTCTTGGAGAGCTACTGCATTGTAGGCGTTGTCCAATAGGTGTTTGCGGAGCTCAGGCAGTCGCGTTCTCAATCCGTTACAGTTCCATTGAAAAACCGAGCAGGAGAGGGGTTGAAGATGCTTGGTGGTCCTCTTATTAATGTCTCCCATCGTGGATGAGTTGGTGTGGGCAGGCGAATGGTGGAAAATTGCTGTCCTGCAGCATTGATATCTGTGATTCATACTGGTGTATGAAGTGTTTGTGCCTTAAATTATCTGATGAGAGCGTTTTACGAAGCGTATACCATATAAATTTGTAGAGGGCATGTGATGAACAGGGTTCGTTCCACTCTATTGCAACAGACTCAGTTTCAATATGATCTGGCTCATCTGTTCGATGCCATTTAGCTTTCGAGTTACAGTGAAGAAAATATCTGTACTGACAAGTAAGGCTTTCTTGGAAACGCTCTAGCATAGCATTGCAATAATGGGTTCTAATGTGAGGACGGCTTTGATCACTTGATGAAGTGTTGATGTCTGTGACGTTGTGGCCAGTATCTTGCGAAGAGCAGTGAACATAAGTGGGATTATGGCTTTAAACACAGAGTCAGTCTTTGTTCCACTTTCTTGGTTGGGTCCCGTCATGTG